CAGGAGCTGTAATCTCAACTGCTGCTTAACTCACACATTTGCTGGAAACTATAATTGTGAGCTGCTCAAGGTAATTTGCAGATGGGCCCTGTTGAGCAATCTCCATATCCATCATATTACCCAGTTCCTCTCTGGGGAAAACATGAGAATTAAAAGTTCCAAATAATTCTAGTCAAATTACACAACCCTTAATGAAGTTCAAAAGATGTTTTTACAGGCATGTGCTCCAGTTTTAACTCTAATTATTAAAACAAAACATATTAACAATATCATTTATCATTTCCACACATTAAGCACATACAGGTCTACTCCCTGTCCCTGTCTTGGTAAGAAACACAAGCATTGCAAACTCTGTAATTTCTGTAACTGAGAGCTGAAAACGGGATTTTAAAATGGTCTGATAATCATTAACAATAACAAACATGACATGCTCTTGTATGTTTTTGCCAATTTTACTTTTGAACCTTATCACCATAATTGTTGTTCAATGTTTGCAAATCAACAACAGTTTAATCAAACAAATCTGGCATTTAAAAAAAAATTAGGCTCAGATCACGTAACACACTGTCTTTTCTCAAGGCACTATTTGAACTTTTATCTTATCTTACAACATTTAAATAAAAGGTACATAAAGTAAACTTTGCTATTATGAAAATAAACTACGTAGTGAACTGTGAATTTAGGTTAGTCTTTTTCATTTTAAGAAAACATTAATAATTCACTTCAAACATGTCCCTCAATAAGGGGTCAATATAACATTAGTCCATATACTAGTGACTTTTTCTCAGCGGATGCCCTTCCTGATCAATCTGGGAATGCAAAGGTGGAATGGGACAGGACAAGAATGCCTGTCAGGCCAGAGTCCAACCAGTGTGCCACTCTCACCTTGCTGGTAGGTTTGGGAATCAAACTTCCAAAATTCTTAACCTTCTCACCACAAACCAGAAATATTTGATCATTGTGATCTGAACCCAAACCATGCTCACCTTATCATATCTATATAAGTGTGACATGCTCATACAATTAAAAACAATAATAAAATAATAAAAAGAATAATGTTCCCCAATAATGTTTCCCCAATGTTTCCTACATTGGGGAAAGTCCCACTGGACGGACTTCTGTTGAAAAACACCCCTTTGCCGCCAATTCTCATTTGTGTAGAAACCACTGAATAATTTTCCCAAACATCATTAAAATTTAGCAGCAACAACCATACCAGACTGGAAACCTATTCATAAAGTATCACTAGAAAACATCTGCTTTAATGACTTGCACAAACTGTCCCATAGTAGTGAAAGAAACATCAAAACCTAGTATAACTTTCCATTGCACTAGAAATCTGATCCTGTAACCAGTAGCTACCTGCATAATTTGATATTTACAATTAGTTCTGGCCTGCTCAAGTGTTACAAATGTGTTTTACCGCAGTTGGTGTAATTAACTGTAATTGACTTCCCTTGAAATGTGTTTCTTCAGGGACATCTGGTCTTGAAACTCCAACCTCTCTATAAAGAGGCGACCCCAGTGTTGAGTTCCTCCTTTTACTTTTTAAACTGCATGGGTGGCAAAGTTAGGAACAGGCAGGACTAGGTCACTTAGAAGTAGCAACTATACAATAAAATATAAAAAAAATAGGAAGAAATTAACTGAATCAATAAGTCTTAGTTTCATGTCCACAGTGTTCAGTGCCCTGAAGTTACATATTTGTATTATTACTTTGCCTCAAAACTTTGTCACATGCAGCTGTACATGTACACCAGCAGTGAAATGAGTATTACAACGAGCTCAACTGTGCAAGAATCAGAAAAAGAAATTTGAAAAAAATGAATGAATTCAGAATATAAGAAAAAAAAAGAATTAGAATTAGCAGCAATATGGTAATTAAAAGTAGTGAATCAGTATATAACTGTAGTTCAAGTAGCAAAACATTATTATAACTTGATTTAAATTTTTGATTGATTTTGAGTTTGTTCTATTATGCTTTATGTTCAGTGCTTTGCTGATATATTGTACAGCAGCTGAACTGAATGAGACCTTAGCATTGACTTTAGGCTAACGTGTGAGCAGCTTGTTTTGAAAGTAGGAGGGAAAGATCCTTTAGAAAAAAAGCAATAAAATACGTTCCAAGATTTTCTCACAAAAAATAGTAGTGCTTAATTTTGAATCATTTGTAAACAATAACATGTAAACAATAGTAAAATTTAAAAAATGCATCTACAGTCAAATTACTAGAGGAGACAATAATACGCGTGTTGCTTGAGTTGAAAAGCTAAAAATCATCTTAACTGCTGATGTTCATTGTTGCAACAGTTCTTATGACTGCTTGATAGAGGGGGGGACTATTTTGTTGAGTGATTTTTAAAACCTTTTCTCAAGTTAACCTAATTCTTACTCATGAAAAGCATGTCCACTGTTCACTGGGTAAAACGACACAGTGATGTATTAGAGCTGGTGAAGTTGTGAAACAGAGCTGCGTGAGTTATTACAGTTTTGTGTTCAACAAATATTTCTGGACAGTGCTCAATAAAGCTGTTCTTCTTTTAAAAAACAAATCTGCTGAGTAAGTTTGCTGTGCTTAGGTTAAGGGAAACCATACCGACAAAAGCAGACACAAACCTATAAAATGACATAAAGATGGAGAAAACAATGGCTGCTACATGTTTTATGCTGGATCCATCTGCTCAGACAAAAAGAAAGGCAGATGTTTCTCTGAATAAATTGAAAGAGCCTTTGCAAAAACGTACTTCTGGTAGTGTACGTTTGACAAAACACTTTCATCCCCAAAGTCTGAAATGTGTTCCTCATTGGAGCCCGTCATTACATCACTTGCCAATGTGCTTTTTCCCCACAAGCTTTTGAAAATTTATATTACGATTCAAATCACTGGCTCAGATTCATCATCTCGCTTTAGTGAGGAAAAGGTTTTGCTTCTGGTTTCTTTGTCTGCTCTTCTTTCTTTCTCTCAATGGAATAATTTATAATAATAAAAACCAGAGTGACTGGTTCCTAGCTGATCTAAGAAACAAACCTTCCATAAAAGTAAATCTAATATATATTTAAAAACAGGTAAACTCATTGATGAAAAGAAAATTGTATGGAAAATTAAAGGGTAGAATTTTAAATGTAAAAGTCAAGGCTGTGTCTCTTATTTTTGACAGGGTTGTTAACAGCGTATGGGCACCCTATAAGTACAGCAAAAGGAGTGCTGCTAGATGATGATCAATTAAAACAAGATTAATTAAAATAGAAATATGATTCTTCAGTGTGTAGCAGTGAAATATTAAACCATACAGCTGTGTGTGCATTTAATTGGTATTCAAACATATTCTGTAAATATGAAGAATGTTCAGTTTACATGAGCAAATATATATTTAATGTTTTCAATGAAGGTAAACCACTTTAGCCTGGTTAATTGAATAGCAGCTCCCAAGCAAAAATAATTGTGTACACCCCGGTGTAGATCTTTGCACCAGCACTTCATCTACAGAATGAATGTGTCACATGTGTCACATTTTTAATGATCAAACTGCAGTTGTTCATTCTAATTACTAGCTGCATTGAACTCCTAATCCAAACCTGTGAGTAATGAACTGACCTGGGCTCCGTCTCTCAGCTTGAGAATACACTCCATGGTGTTGATAGTGATGACTACAGGTTCTGAACCCAGCTTAGTCCAGGGAACATGGATGCGCAGTTCATGTATATGGCCACTCATGAATGTGAAGGGTAGCTTTAACTCCTATGTATGCAAAAAATAAAGAAATCACAGTGAAGAACAAGTCATATTTTAAACAGCATTTATATTAAAAATAAAACAACATAACAAAGAGTAAAAGTTTGAACACAGTAAGTCAGTCTCTCACAGTGAAGCTGACAAATGACTGTTCTGCATCTTGAATGACTCTGTGTGAGATTGGGTACCATGAAACCAGTTTGCCTGGACACAGACTTCACATGCCTTCTCTTTATGCCCATGCCAAAAATTAATAACCAGAAACAACTGTTGACAGGAGTACGGGGTGTGCCTGCCTAATACACAACACAGTGATTCATTTCTGTATATTTAATGATTCCTGGTTGCACACGTTTCTGGAAAAAAAAAACATGTTTGAAGCAAATGCAATAAAACAAAGAAAAAACTAAAGAGGAAACACACATTTTCACATGACATTACACATCAAATTTTCAATTGTCCTATTGTCAGTTTGCGCAAAGCTGCTTCTAATAAGAAATTTCATCACAATCTCTATTGGGTCGTGTTGTGTTTTGATCTCATCTTCAGAAGCAGAGTCAGAACCGACTCTAAAGAAGAACATGGTCATTTGATCTAATCCAGACATTGCAAGTGTAAAAGGAGAATTCTGGGTCAAAATAACAAAGCAGAGCATAAAAAACACTGAATAAATATAGAAAAACATTTACTTTCTACCAAAAAGCAAAAATGAACCTTTACTAATTATTTCTAGTGTCATATGTATCATTGTGTCTACAATTTTCATTACAAAAAACATTTGAAGGGTGGTCGAGGACAGGGTTAAATTAAGAGTGAAAAGGCTTGAGAATCATCTGTGCCTTTTGAGCTTTTTGTTACTTTTACTCATTTTCTTAGAATTTTCTGATTTCTCTGATGTGATTTTGCCCCTACAACAGGTAAGTTTAAAGGAGATGCACCTTTTCATTTGCAGCCGTGTCAGCAGACAAACTTCACATTGTCTGTGTCACAAAATCTCTTCTGGGTTCATTTCAGGTCTAAACTTGGCCAATGTTACACAAATATATCTATGTTTTGTAATCAGTGAAGTAATAGCTGAGAAACAGAAGCCTCATTCAGAAAAAGGAATTTGTGAAGGAGTGTCTTGTAGCTGCTGTCACATTGCAAACTGACAAATAGACAATGCAAACAATTGTTACACTGACATTACAAAAAAAAATGGCTCAGGTATTAAATTTTTCTACATGGAATTACTGCCAAGGTTGATACGAGAAGCACCGAATCATTCATGCCGTGGCATGTGCAAAGGTGTAACACAACTTTTTCCTACTGCACCTGAACAAAAGAATGTTGACATCAGACTATGCCGGTTAGATATGCAAATATCCTCCAGGCATTTGATGAGAGGTTTCAGGACATGTAAAGATAAACAAAGGGAGCTGCAGTTGTGTGCTTCATTGTTAAATGTGGGAACAGCTGATATCCCTGGCAGCCAACGACAAAAGATAAATCAACTGGAAAGCAACAACAAACCCAAAGTTATGTGCCATTTCCTTCTTCCTCTTGGTAAACTGAAGGTGCATTGTAATACTTTTCACAACAAAATAAACTGTCAATACCCCCATGCATTGGTGTGCTAATCGGTTTTTACCTGTTCCAAGACATCTAGTTTCAGGTCCAGCTTGCTCAGAACCACATCCCCCCCCCAGAGAGACAATTGCAGGTCAGATGGCTTCAGGTTCTTAATGTACTTGTTCACATAGCTCATGAGGAGCGGCGTGACATAAGACTCCAACATCTTGGTCCTGTAACATGTAGAAATGATTTATTCACCCATAATAAAAGTGGCTTTTGTTTTACAAATTTTTAAAGATTTGGTCAATTAGTTAAAATGCTGAAACAAATATGGTTCAATGAGTCAAAAACCTAAAAGTGCTGTTATTCTCATTGGTTGCAAAATGTTTTACAATTAGACGTTTTTTGTTTGTTTATTCCTATTAAGCACACAAAGAAAGTACAACATTCAACATGATTACATCAAGGGCGCTTCAAACTGAAAGCATGACTTTAACTCATACAACTAACTCAAAACAAGAAAATGTTGAAAATGTCGAAAAATAATCGTCTATGACGATTCGTTGCCAAGTTGGCTACCCAATGTAAGTATATAATTATATAAATAAGAAAACGCATTTTACACCAAAAGAATAAACCCTACAACAGCTTTTTTTCAAGAACAAATTAGTTTAATACAAAGAACAGTAAATAAATATCAATAATGTGCAATACTTTAGCCGGAGAACAAACGGTTCTGCTCATTAAGTGTGGCGCTAATTAGGCCAATTGTTTACGCCTGTTCGCATACTGTTTGTTTTAAAAAGTGGCTAAAGCTCCGGTTTAAAAGCACTCTGTTAATGAAGTAAACTTGTATACACTGTCTTAGGAATGTACATTTTAGGACTTTCCCTGGTTACTAATTATTAGTTCTACTTTTGATAAATTATTTTATTAAAGAAGACACGCCTGCCTGCTAACGTCCCTAACGTAGTTCCATCTGCACTTCCGTCACATGCATTGCAAATGAAATGTCTTGCTTTTATTATAATTGCACCTTGGCTCTTCATAAGAAAAGCAACTTTATAAAACTACTAGGAGTGTTGACAGATACCCCTGTGATCTCCTGCCATGACAGCGCTACACAGAGGCTAAGCTAACCAGGAAAAAGTGCTTCTCTGTGCTTTCGTTTACGCCTAATAAACATATTAACAAAGGATGAAAAAGAAAATATGTCCTTACTTGTCTACCGGGTGTATACTGCAGCAATTCTTCAAGTGTGACGTTTTATTGTGACATATTTATCCAGTTACCATTAGCCACATCTTCACCACTGGCTTCTGCAGAACACGTCATAGGTAAACACCAACGCGGCTTCCGTATTTCTGGTGTTGCGTTTCAGTTTTGTCGGAATATCACAGGTTTTGTACTACAACAGCCTACACCCAAAAGTTTGGGTGACTGATAAATGTAGATGTTTGTTTGTAAGTATGAAGGAAACAGTTACACTTTTTTCTTTATAGATGCGTGAGACACATGTTCAAATTTTAATGAAACAGTATGCGGGTTCGCAAAATGGTCCGTTCGTAAAATGACGCATTTTTGATGGGTTCCTGAACGCATCGCTCCTTGTGACGTCAGTGGTTTATTTTCTGCTGTCCTATTACTGATGTGGAGCCGTGTAGAAATAAAGAATATATTTTATACTTACCAACCCAAAAAAAAGGTGCCGTCGGGGAGATTACTCTGTTATCGCAAAAGCCACATCATGCAGCGAAAGGATATATACACAGCCACAATACACATTATGCAAAGTAAGAAATATGTAAATTAAGTCTAATTTAAATTGATTAATTATGGTGTTTGATTAGTGCAAAAAGACTTGTTCAGATAGATAGGTGGAGAGTTTAGTAGGGAGCTTGAGTTTGCAGACTGTGCAGAGTTGGCTCGTGATTCCAGCAGTTGTGGCTTCTTTTGAGGGAAGCAGAGAGGCATGTTTCCTCTTAGCTTAACCCAAACCTAACCTCAACCCTATACCTCTAACCATTAGTACAATGCTGAGCCGGAAACCAGGCGAAGCCAAACCTTAATGCTTTTGCCACTAACAGCAATGGTAGAGCCTGGGTCATACTGGAGCATTTGCACTTTTGCCCTCTGTCCCAATAAGAGCACTTTTTTTAGATGGTATTCTTCTTTTTTAACTTAACTATTTTTAGAAATGCATAAAAGTGGTGGAATTGTGCAGCAGTTTTCCATTTAAAGTGTGTAAAGTGCCTAGACTTTGTATTTAATTTGTCATTTCTGAAGGAACACACTGTCTGCTTCTATTTTTGAAGTTTTCTCTTGTATTCCTCCTGGCCAATATGTTAGTCTACAATATGTCTGCAGTAAAACCAGTGTTTTCTAAGCCATTCATATCTGGGAGACATCCATTTTTGAAGATCTAAATAAACAACCTAGTGTTATAATTATTAATTATAACATATCACCAATACAGTAATTAAACGACATAATGTAAACATTATATATATATTATACTATGTTTTCTATACCCAATTTAAGAACATGTAGAATATGTTACTAACTGTGTAGTCCACTCTGGAGACAGTTCCTTTTTTTATTTATTTATTTTTCAGTCTGGCTAAAAGTGGTCTCCTGTGACAGAGCCGTGAGTTTTGGGAAACACTGTCATTGGCAGTTATTTGAAATTCTCTTTAATATCAGATACAAATGGTCTAATAAATCAGTGAAGTATTGAAAACAGACAACAATGTGATAGGGAAATAGGCTAAAGACTAAGAATTTGTATTGTCCCCAAGAGGCTACTTTTAGTGCTGCCTGGTGTACATAAGTAAGTACAAATCTTTAAGAAGTAGATACCACATAATGTTAAAACAACAACAACAACAACAACAATGAGAATACAACATAACACACTTGGGCTGAAAGTGACATACACGTAACATGCTGTGACGTCTTTCAGTCAGTTTGGGCGGCAACACTTGGAACAACAAGACCACAAACCCAAGTATTTGAAACCAAGAAACCTGTCAATGGCTTCAGTCCCCATTAAACATATCCAACGCATCATAAAGAGGAAAATCACACATCAGGGACTAAGTATTGTTGAGCAGGTCAGGGTTTTTATACAGCAAGAAAAGGCACAAATACCACTTATAAAACTGCAAAAAAGTATATCTTCAGTTTCTAAAATAGAAGGCCTAATTTAAATACACTAGTCTCAGCTACAATTATATTCATGAGTGCGTTTCAGTTATTTTGTTTTAGTTTTATTTTTTCTTTATCTTTCCATGTCTTTTCTTGTTCCATTATTTTTTATTTTTTATTTATATAAGGTATCTGTAAAAGAGCTGATTTACTGTAACCCAGTCATATAAACACTGGCCAATTGGTTTAACACAACATCATATTGTCCTTGTATTTATGTAAATTTCCTAACAGCATAAATAGAAAAAGTAAATAACACAAAACATTTGGCTTTTTTCAGAGTTCTCTCTAATACTCCAATGAATCACAAACTTTTGCAGAAGATACGGCAATAAAGACATTTTACGTAAAGTATAATGTATCCGTAGGTGGCTTTTTTTCCCACTGCAGCACATGTCCCCATATTGTGTGTGTACACCCCTGCTCGGTGTCCACCCATTGTAAATCCTGCTAGGGCTTAGAATGTGACGTGTACAGTGAGTGCAGCCTGCGTTCTGCTGGGGAGGTACGACTTCCTGATGACACAGTTCACACAGCAGGCCGCTGCAGTTTAAAACCACGTGGCTGCATGTCCATTCTGAGCCTAGTGTGTGTGTGTGAGAGAGGGAGAGGGAGAGAAGGAGAGGGAGAGAGAGAAAGAGACAGTGTGTGTATCAACTTCCACCATCTCTGTGATTATCATGAAGTCATCTCTCTATCTCTCTCTCTCAACCCCCCCCCCCCCCCCCCCCCCCCTACCTCTCTGTGCAGAACTCTAGTAACTAATTAAAGTATCAGCCCACATGACATGGTGCTGTCGTCACGCCTCCTCTGGATCTTCAGTCTCCTGTGACAGCACTGAGTGAAATTCACTCAGCGCTGATGAGAAGTCTGTAATACACACTCGAGCTTGACTGCTTGACTGTGGTAGAGAAGCGAGAACGTGGAACAACTGATGATACTTGAAAAGTTCACGTTGTGCAGTTCAGGAATGAATGATTAATTTGTTAACATGTGTCAGTATCGTTTGTGGGATCACTGAAAACGGGTTTGGGAAAAATGAGAGCAGGTGCTGACAAGTGATCACTGACCTCCTTTCATCAAAGGAGACATCCACAATAAAAAGGGACATTTTAGAAATTTTAGCTCACAACTATTTCCTTCATTTGAAAAAAAATCTACACCTGCTTTACAGTCAGTAATTTAGAAGTTTTAACCCTTTAGGTGTTATTCGGTTATAATTCTAATATTTTACATAATTATAGGTAAATTATTATTATTATAACAATTTAAAAGTAGTAGCAATTCATATTTGTATTTTAACTTTTTACAACTGTTTTTTACTCATTCATAGCCTAATATGGAGTTTTTTATTACATAAGTTCAACTATTATTATTAGTAGTAGTATTATTGTTGTTGTTGTTGTTGTTATTATTGTTATTACTTTTCGTGTTACATTTTATTTGACGGTTAAATTGTTTTTTTTTTTTAATGACAATTTCAATATTTTTAAATCGAATTAATTTTGTTGGCCATGTGTATGGCTATACATTATTATTATTAGTAGTAGTAGTAGTAGTTGTAGTAGTAGTAGTAGTATTTAGTTTTTAATTTTGTAAAAATGAACTTGGACCACAAAGAATTTTCCACCTCGTTGCTTTTCCAATGAGAAACCGATTAGAAAGAGAACTTAAGCCGCACACTGTCATAAACTTGGCCTTCTGCTCTGGCCTCTCAGCAGCGCAGAGCGACTTCTCACTTCATTAAAAAAAAAACAAAAAACAAAAAAACAAAATAAAACAAAAACACGTCCGCCCCCTTTTTAAACTCGATTGTCATTTTTATTAAATACACGTTATTTGGAAAGCAGTTAAATAACGGGAGTCTTTAAAACGAATGCTTGATATTTTGCGGTCAACAGATGGTGAAACCGAGAACCATGGCCTCAAGGCCATAAAATAAATGATGAGGCAAAGACCAAGTGGAGAGTTTACACCGTCGTAACAAAAAAAAAGTTCTTCGTTGGTCCCTGTACAAAGGCATACAGTTGACTTTGAAGACATTCGTTTTGACCTCAAATGTTGACCATCTGGTATATTTATTGAGGCAGCAAATTATAATATTCTGACTCACAGCATCTTAGGTGGGCTCCACTGTTGTTATAATCGTTATATAATATTTCACATTGTTAATTAAAATTATTATGTATACCATGAACCGTTTTTAATCTTTTATAAAATTCCCTTTAAGTACAGAACCATGACCTGGACAATTTCCAAAACCACAATCTACTGACAGGTTTATAATGACGTCAGAGATGATTGAAAAAAATCGCGTGAACCGGTGAACGTTAGAAATTTTAAAAATTACCTATAAAAATAATAAATCAACGGATTAATTTAGTCTTATTAATTTTAAAATATCCAAGTATCTTGCAGGCATTTAAAAAATATTTAATAAACACTCACATTTTTACATAATAATGACCTCTTGACCGTCCGTATTTTGCCATTGAAATAGATCGTGATCATCATTAAAAATTTCCAACTACAGTCACTTTAAAATAATTTCTGTGTAGAATGATTAACGGTGCAAATTAGTCCACAAAATGAAGCGTTGATATATTTGCATAAATAACGCATGGAATAAATGCATTAAATAAAAACCCAGAACCAACGCCAATGTATCATGGAAATATTTATTTTCTAAAATACAATTTAACATACTTTAAAACGTATGACCACTTTATAATTTTAAGGTCAGGCAGCAAAAAATACAAAAACAACAACAGCAACATTATATGTACAGGGTCTTGATATTTACAGGTGGTGTGTGTGAGAGCTGGACATGTCCAGGTCTGTCCTCTTCTTCTGTCCCACTTTGAGGTGCGAACAAAAAAAATCCACAAACGTGCGCCACGAAGGTAAACGTGTCCTGGTGTGGAGACATGTCTTGGCACACAATAGAAGAAAAGAAAAATTGGCGAAGGCAGAAAAGGCCGGGTGGAGTGGTGATGTCTCTGACTTCCTTGTCTTCCTTGAGTGTTTTTGTCCATTGTTTTCTTTTTTTTTTCTTTTTTTTCTTTTTTTTTTAGTAGTCCTGGTGTGGGCTGTGCGTCAAACTGTGCCGTCGCAGGTCACAGTTGCGCCGAAACACCTTTCCGCAGCGGCCACAGCTGTAGGGCTTGATGTCTGTATGGGTGAGAAGGTGAGTTTTCAGGTTACTTCTTTGATTAAAGGTTCGTCCGCATGTGGGGCATTTGTGGGGAGATTCCTGTTTAGATTTAAAGCAAGCAAAGGATTATTCCCTTTTATTATGTTGCACTATAAATTAGATTTATTTTGATTTATTATTATTCATTTATACCTCACACCAATTAACTACGTCAATCTGGATAGAGTTCAAATGTAATTTTTGTCTTTAATTTATTTATTTTCTTTGGTATTTGGCCAACAGTGGTGGGAGACGTCGTAATGTCCCCAGGCATGCAGTAGACCGTGCATTAACAGGTGAATAAGGACAAAACAAGGTGTGACATAAAAGTACTGTGAGGATAAAACCATAGTGAGTGTGACTGTGTGTGTGTGTGTGTGTGTGTGTGGTTTTTTCTCAGCTTACCTGCATGTGTAAGGTTTTATGGACGGCTAGGGTTCGAGACTGACAGAACCCTTTCCCACATTCTTGACACTTGAATGGTTTTTCCTTGGAGTGGATGTATCTGTAAAGCAGAAACGACACCTCATCACACATTTGTTCATGTATGGATCTGCCAGAAGCTACTGACAAGACTAGTAGAACGAATTAATAAAATGCAAATAAACACTCCGGTTTCAGTTGTGATTTTCTAACTATTTGTACGTAAAAGTGCTTTTAGCGCCCTCGTGGATCACAACCAATACACAAGCCTGGCGTGTTTCCGTGCTCAAAGTGAATATTTTGTGTTTAAATGACACCAAAGCCAGGATCGTTGGCGGTAAATAAAAACGAGCTACTTTTATTTGGGAATTTTAGACCCTCTCTTAAAACCGTGCTTTAAATACGTCATCATCTGTGACGTGTGTCTGTCTCACCTGTGGTCTCTGAGATGGTCCTGTCTTCTGAAGGCTTTGTGGCAAATGTCACAGGTGTAAGGCCGCTCGTCCGTGTGGGTCCTCTCGTGGATGAGCAGGTTGTAGGATTTGGTGAAATGCCTGCCGCAGAACTTGCAAATAAATTCCTTTTTAGTTTTGGAAGGGAGCCTGCCCCGGGTGGGTTTTCTTTCCGGGGACAGCTTGCTCAGCTCGGAGATGGTTCCCCCTAGTCCAGACGCCAACTTGGCCAGATCCGCAGCAGCTTTCGGCGGGTCCTCCTGCGTGGCAGCGAGCGCCAGGTTGGCGAAGTCAAACCTGGGCCTGTCCTTGTGCAGAGAGGGGACGCCGTGAGCAGCGGCCACCTGTTTCGGATGGAAGAGCTGCGCCGCGGCTGTGAAGGGGATCGCCTGGAAAGGGATCCGGGGGTCGACCAGCCCCTGGGCGGCTGCCATCTCCGTGATCGTCGACCTCAGTCCTTGAATGTGCGGGTAACCAAGAGTCCAGTGGTTCATGTGCATGGTGTGCACTGCGCTGAGGCCGTACAGTCCGTGCAGCTGGTCAGCTGGGAAAGTGTTGACGGCCTGCAGGAAGGAGTAGTTGGTGAGCTGCAGCGCCGGGTGCACGGGGATCGGAGCGTGTAGGGCTTTGCTCCCCATCTCGACTCAGACCTCTGTAGAGGTAAGTGACCCTGGAGAGGAGCGGGGGAAAGGGGCAGTGTTGTCAGTAAGAGCCACAGACGAGCTGGCAATTGTGTTGTGCCACATACAGACAGCGTGTGAGCCTCAGTTAGTAAACATGACAGTTGGACCACCTGTTTTTACAGCTCTCTCTCTACACACGGTATTCCTAATGTTTTTACTTCACATACGCAGTGTTTAAAAATAACCACGCGGTTTAAAAATAACTAATGGAAATTTACAAAACAGTTGTGATTGAAATGCAATTAGAACAAAGTTAATTAAAGGGAAACGCGCGGTTGTAGAACCTGTGTAATTGCTGCGGCATTATCCGAAGCCCTGGCACACTCACAGCACATTTACGCACAAAATACGCATACCATTAAAAGCTACATTTGCTCTGTGTAGGACATTAAATGCACAGGCTGCAGAGCAGTCGTGGGGAACACGTCAATCATCGAAAGTGTAACCAAATAAAGTGGGTGTAAAATGATTCATATGGAGCCGATTGACAATTTAAATTACACACTCGCAGTTTCCTCTCAATGAAACAGTAAATCTCACATAATGCAATTACAGAGGACACGCTGTGTTTGACTGTTGTACTTGGTGTTTTTTCTTTTTTTTTTTCTCTGTACAAAACAAGTGTTCTGCTCACAGCCAGTTTCTGTGGATTTACACCACAGTGAGATTTGGCCAGAACAGGATCTGACCGTGAGTCAGAGTAGAAGACACAATGGCTGGAAATTAATCACAATAAAGACACTTGAGTCTGTGGTGGAGATCCACGTACTTAAAAAATATATACTGAATTTATGCTCATCCCAGCAGCTAATAATATAGACATTATATTTCTTATTTGTGTACGTTTTATTTTATTTTTTTAATATAATGTTCCCTTATCTGACAGGCTGTGGAGGCCGTTGAGTCTGTGGTCTGATATAATCATGGTCGAACTTTCTACATCTACAATTTAGGTCGAATAATTGAAGCTGACGCTGCAAGAAATCTCAGCCACAGGTTCCATGTTTTTATGGATGACAAGTTATGTTTTTCCACACAGGAAAAAAAAAAAAAAAAAAAAGTCCACCGTGTGAGTTCAAGACTCCGGATGGTGAAAGCGGGACTGGCGGTGAGCCAGCGGTGCAACAGCGAGCTGACCTTTACAGTCAGTCCAGGCTGAAAAATGGCAAAAAAGAGAGGAAATATCACCCAGGGTTTTTTTCTGGAGCATAAATTAATCCTGAAAAATATTATTAATGAGCTGTTCTTTGGAAGTCATAGTTAAGACAGTGTTTCAAGACAAATAACGAGGCTGAAACTCTGCCTAAATGTGGAGACATTTTTCACACTTATGAATGAAAGTGTTGCTTTTATAGCTGGAGGACTGCATCAGCCAGCTTCTAAAATATTTGGACCTAATGGAGTTTCTATAGCAGTTTTTTTTTCCAATGGTGCAACAGCCGTGAAGACACTTGTTCTCTGCCCGCCTGTGCAACTTGGTTCAGCTTGTTCTTCTCTCTGTACAACCTTTGGACTTGCACTTAACTCCCTGACAGCAGCAGCAGCAGCAGCAGCAGCCTATAGTTGCCCCGCCGTGCTCCCTTAACCCCCGCTTGGGCAAAGACATGGTTTTACATTTCCATAAGTCGTGACAAGTGTGCAAAAGCAAAGGCCACTGCTCGTCTCAGCATTGTTCTACGTGCTGGTGACGGAAAAACGTGGGGTGAACTAAATGCCCCCCTGGCTGCTGATCATCACGCAGCAATAATCATCACCCTCAGAGGCAACTGTTGATTTGAGTTTTTTCTGTCCTGTCCTTGACTTTACTTCGTTGTGACAGGTTGGTTCACCCTGCAGCCTTTCTTTTTTTTAATGTCTTTCTCTTTTAACAGATAAGAAAAGTTAGAACAAGTCAGTGGTGTGAGGCCGGCTTCCCTTCCTGCAACAACTCTATAACATTGACTCTGCCAAACACAATCTTACCCCAATAAATAGCTGCCAAAGGTCCTGCGGTATGTCAGTAATCCACAGTAACTAAAGAGGCGACGAGCTCCAATAAAAGCGCCGCTGAAAGTTTTCCAGTTTCCAAGTCCATGAAAACTTTTCACATAGCCATGCAGCCAACCAACCCCTGATGCCTCGAGCCTGTGCAGAGTTGTGACAAGTTGCGGAAAAGAGACGAGGAAAAGTTTGGAGGAGAGACAGCTGCAGCGTGGGAGCCTCCTCTGCAGCGAGCGCTCGGAGTGTGCGTAATGCGCCTCCGCTCCTTCACTTTTCAGGGCTCCGGGGCTCCGGAGCGCACAGCCCGCCCCTCCGACACGCCTCCACCCCCCGTCCTCTATCATTAACTCCAATGTTCCTCCTCTGTTTATTTGTGTTTGGATAGCAACTAGGGTAGTAGAGAAGCGTGCGCAGCCTCCAATGACACCTTCCATACGCCATATGGCCAAGTTTGATACCTTCACGGGGACGTGATTGGAAGGGCAGGAGGGAAACCTTGATCACAGTTTTCCCCTCCAGCTCCACGCTGTTGGATGAACTTGAGCAGCTCTCGGCAACAGTTCACCGCTTTTTCTCCCTTTTGTGAAACACAGTTTGGTCCAGTTTTCTTAGATGGCATGGAAACACATTAAATGGCAGCATTTGGACGGGATAAGGGTAAAAAAAAAGTCAGGTTTGTGAGAGGAAGGGAAATATCCAGAAAAGACAACACACACGGATGTTCCTAAACAAAATAAACCCCGAATAACTCGGAAACATCTTGATATGTTTTATCTAAAGAGAGAAAATATCACAAAGTCGAATGGCACACGGTTTACCTGTGCGGTTAAACACAAAACAATTGTTTGATAAATTCTCCAAAATAAATTGTTGTCATTGTCATTTTATTTGTTTGTTTATATGTTGGTTATTTACTTTTATTCCAACATTAACTAAAAAACTGTTTAAATAACATTAGATACTAATGATATTTAAACAACAACAATATTTTAAAAAATCATTTATTTTTGAAATCTAAAAAAATATTTTTAAACAAATATTGTCCGAGTGGATTTAATTTTTTGTTCCTCTGTTCAAGAGGCTGTTGTTAGTTTTCACTCATACTTTCATGCGTAAAAGTTATTAATAGTTTTCCCACTGCAGATTTAAAAGTAAATAAATACATATTTTGCGCTAATAAAACAAATGGCAGCCTATAATTCAAAGTTTGTCATAATTACAAATTACAATAATATCGTAATATTTATAATTTATAATTCACCAAGTTTAAAAGATTAAAGTGACTTTGTTTCTTTCACATGTGAAGTCGCAGCGTGTTTATTTATTTGAATTATTTTATTATATTCTTATAATTTTCATTTATTATAAATTAATATTAAAAACCTGTGGGTTTAAACATAAATATGAAAGTGATAAGTGCGCAGAGAGCAGCGCTGCTGAGAGCAGCTCGCACTGACTGCGGCTGAGTCGTGTTCGTGCAGAAAGCAGGTCTGCAGCGCCACCCATTGGGACTAAAGGACATAGCAGCCTGCGAGACCCTGCCGAGGGTTTGCAGCTCTGACAAGAAGACCTCAGAGGATCAGGTCAGGATCAACTTTTCTTTCTTTAGCACTGGTTACATGAAAAGGAGAATTCCAACTTAAAAACAAACCTAACTTCCACAAAAGACCTAACTTTCACATTAAAAATTAAAGCAAATAACAATTGGAGCCTACAATAAAAGCAAATAAACAAACAAAAAACAAAAAAAGTTATGCCGGGTTAGCCGTTAACATGTTTATTTAAATGACCTATAAAACGAGCATTCACCAAGTCTTGGTCTGTGCAAGAAAGTGTTTTTCATTTAAAAAAATAAAAAAATAAAATTATGGGCTGTCGCCATCTACAGAAAATAATATAGTTATCAAAAATCCAGGTGTTCCAAAAACTACAGATTTAAGTTTCAGATGCTGTGATTTTAAAGTGCAGCAGCTTTAAAGCTGGAACTGATGTTTGTACTGTAACCAAATAAGACTGAGGAGCTTCATTAACATCCCGCCTCCTCATATGATTATATTAAATAGTACGGTGATGCACGGTCCTGACCTAATCCTGCAAGTGTTTCTCATGATCACGTCCATGTTTGTGATGCAGAGCATGATGTGAGAGATAACACCCAGAGCTGCTTGTCACTGAAGTTTAGTCCCGCTCAGAGTAACGTGGAGCCTAATTTTCATTTTCCTCGCTCTGCAGAGTGTCTTTTTTTTTCTACTCTTTTTTTTCTGCACACAACATGCTTGTGGTTTTCGTTAGGTTTCATATCACTCTGGCCTTACGTTTTCACTGTCAAAACACTGAACAATTGCAGACAGATTAGAAGACACACAAACCTCCTCATTTTTACATTAGAGCTGGTTTGATGGGCCCGATTCTCAGCGTATCACTTTCACTCTGGAAATTTATATCAGTGTAAACTGTGTTTATTTAAAGAAAAATATCCCCAGGGCCAAATTGTAATCCACTCACCAATGTTTCAATTTTGTCTACATTCATTATAATCTCTCAAAAAGATAGGGAATATTTTTAGCTTTTCTGTGGGAATTGAGCTTTTTAATGGATGTCTTTTTTAGTACTTTTGTATAGGAGTCCTGGCTTTTCATTTAAAAGTCACATCATTTTGCACTAAATAAACCATTTACAAACACTGTCGGTATATTGAGTTTAACCATAGAGTTATTAAATTACACATTCACAAATGTATATCCTCTACAAAATCATAAACATCTCATAAAAATAGCAGAAGTCTTGGTAACACAAACAGATGATGATTCCATATGATGGAAGGAAGTTCAATATGGAAGATTTGATATTTGGAGGTAAAATGTTGATATTTCAGTCATGGGATATGGAATGTAGCTGTTCTGGTCTATTTGGTATTAAATTAGTCTATTCTAAGCTACAAGCTGTTGTAAAAGCAAGCACTAGTGTATTCTGACTTACACTTTCATAAGTCAAAGTACACTAATTCTGATGTGGATTGAAATAAAAAGATAGGGAGAGAGAGAGAAAGAGAGAGAGAGAGGGAGAGAGAGAGAGAGAGAAAGAGGGAGAGAAAGAGAGAGAGAGAGAGAGAGTAAAATCAGAGCCACAGAGTTAGTGCCTTGCCCTTTGGCCCTGTCTGAGTCCCCTGAAGCCGCCAACGCTCTCTATGATAATCTAACTCCCACAGAGTATCAGCGTTGCAGCTCAGTGCAGCTGCCAAGCCTGTAATGGCCGACACTCTTCTTCCAAAAACACAGTGACAGAGAAGAAGAAACCCGACTGGGATCATTTCAAAGGCTGCCATAAAGACCCAGCCATCTGAACGTATAACATTTAATGTTTTGATTTAAGACTGTATCACTGATGTGTATTCTGCAGGCCGTAAAACAAACACATGACATGATTATCCAGTCTATAACTGTGTCGGAAATAAAACACAAGCCCAAAGGTGAATACACTGCAATTTTCTGTAATATTTTTATATCCAAAAAAATGTATAATGATCCTTTTTTAATATTTAAGTGTAAACATCCAAATGTACATCCACAGCACAAAGATCTACTAATTATTTTATATTATTCAGTGTGAATTTCTTTAAGGGTCTGTCTAAAATATACTAGAGAATTACACATGGCCACAAAAGTCTGATCTGTAACTCTAGAGTAGAGAGCAGCTAGTGCTGCAGTATTAATATATTAATTACTCCAGCAGCCTGAGCTGCCCGTGTCTCTATTCTATCATTTATCTCCCTCCACCTGCAGTCAGCTCTCCCTGTCTGTGAGTGCTGCTCCTTACCTCTGCTGGATGTGAAGAGTCCTGGGCAGAGAAGGTGGAGCTGTCTGGCTCTTCTGGAAGCTGATGGCTCGGTTTAACAGTCTACGTCTCGCTGTACTTCTGTGCATATTGACAGACAGGAAGTCAGGTCCATACTGTAAGAGCAAGAGGTTAGATAGGAGGGGGGTTGATCTACCTGCTGTGGTTTCAGAGCCCCCCACATCCCCACCTACAGTCTCTCTCATCCTGTCCCGGCAGCAGCAGCAGCAGCAGCAGCAGCAGCAGTCGTTCTCAGGATGAGAGTTTTCTTTTTTCTTCAGAGAACCTGCAGTCATACATTCTTCAACGTCATAGGATTCTTTTTTTTTTTATTGTTGTTGTTTTTACTTGAAATTTGTGAACTTTTGAGAAATGGGGGGCACAGAGAGGAGGGAGGTGCAGTGTCTACATCTGTTCTACATTTATTCTGTTCTGACATTGATAGTGGAGTATGTATCAGGACACAGACACAGAAGAGTGACTGATCATGAATATCATGATTAAAGAAAATATTTTTTAAATGAAACATAATCAAGACACAATAAACACCTGTTTGGGTGATGAAACAAGATCAGCAATTTCACTCAACCTACCATTTCATATATATATATGTGTGTGTGTGTGTGTGTGTGTGTGTGTATAAAACTTATCAAGTGAATAAATAATAATTTTTAAGTAAAATATAAATCTATGAATCTCCAACACAACAAGCCAAACACAATTTGTTGATGTGATATTGGGCTGTTTGTTCAATTATTGTAATAAATGAAGTGGGGTAGTAATAACAATAATAATAATAATCATGTCTCGTGGTCTGTAACTGCTTGGTGGAAGCAGATGTTGGTGACATTGTGCAGATCCCCTCTGTTTCTCTGGCCTGAAACTGAGCAGACTGTAAACTCAGCAGGAGACACGTGAGCTGGTCTTTTTGCTTCATTGTTCAACACTGCCCCCTGTTGGCATAAAGAACAACTACTACTGCTGCAGCTTTTTATAAAGCTCTGTATCTTCATCAAATGCGCAGTGATTATTGACGTATCACCAAAATAGAATATTGCAATAGTTTTTCTAATTTAGAATCGGGTGTTAATGTTTTATCCAATTCTGACAATACACATTAATTTGAGGATAACTCAACCTATACTCTGTCCTTAAAATATATATTTCTTTTTGAAGTGTTTGCGAAGAAACAGGACATCCTGTAATTATGAATTATTAAATTAGTTTTTTTTAAAGCAAATATTTTACAAAACATTGAAAATATTCTTATGTAAGTTTTACTTGCTACATATTTTTTACATTCATTCATTAGAGTTTCAGCCGTTACATGGCTAAAACAAAAATAACCAATAACTGATGGGCAGGACAAGAGAGCATAAAGACCTAGAGTGGGGAAGTATTTACAAACGGGTAAAAGATTAAAATGAAAAAAAAATGAAAAATGAGGGAAGAATACAGCCCAACATTAATAATAATAATTAATGTATCAAAAAGGTCGGTCTCCAGAGACTTGAACAAGAGTGGATGATTTTCTAAACCCTTAAAAGCAACATTTAGTCCAGATTGAAGTCAAACAGTGAAAGGCATTAGTAAATCATACATGCTAGTAAAACTAGACCTGTTTGGTCATAAAGATGAGGCGTTTGTTTAACTAAGAAAAGAAGGAGCTTGTAACCCTAAGGACATCATCTCCCAAACATGGAGGGAAATATAACTATGGGGATATTTGACTTGAATCAGAAACTAGGAGTCTGGGGAGGAAGGAAGTGTGAAAAAAAATGAAATTGGGATCACTATTTTGGTCTTGATCATTTTTTTAACGAAAAAGATTTATATATAAAGTAATGTGGTGTGTCTGTATGAAAGCAGAGGCACATGTAAATGTCACTCATTACCCTGAGTGATGAAACTGGCATGTGATTTCATTGACTTACATGTCAAAGAGGAGCTGGTTCTGCTCTTGTGTACTCTGTGTATAAACACACACGCACACATGCACGTACAGATTTACTGCATTCCTCAGGACCCCTGCTTGAT